ACCTCTCTGTATTAGCCAGTGACACAGCGAGTGTGGGCCTCCAGAGTTACACAGCCCCATTAAAAAATGAATGCAACTTGAGGATGGATCAGAGCTTACATTGCCAGCAGAATAGAGGGCATATATATTGTACAGGTCACCTGTGAAGCCTCGTGTGAAATTTGCCCAATCCTATACATGTATAATGATTTGAAGTTATGCAAGGTCAAATGCCAAGAAGGATTCATTGGATGGTCAAAAACCAGAACTGATCTCAGGAGCTTCCAGCATGTCTTACTCTTGTGAGCCTCCTATGAAAAGCTAGCATGGAGAACTAAGGTATTGGAAAACTCAGCAACCTTAGCATGATCAAAGGGGTTTGGTGGACTGCAGCGTGGCCACTTCTGGTTTGTCTTATCAGAAAAGATAGTAACAACTAGTTCAGCTTTGCAAAATAAAAGCCAGTGTGGTAGCTTTCTGATCTCCAACTTAAATGCCATTTCTCTTTCACTGATGCTACATTTATAAATCCTCTTGATGTGTCTGTAGCGTGAACACAAGAGCAGCTGGGTAGAAGTACACCAAGAACAGGTTTATTCTGGGAATAAGAAAAGACTTGTGTTCCTAACCATGAGAAGCAACCTTCACAAGCTTTTTTCAACAGAAGCAGTGGCATGAAAACAGTATTTCAAAAGGGGCTAGGACATTTTATGAAGAGGATAATAGAATGGTGTTACCTGTGCTGGCAAAGCAGGGCACACTCTCACGGCTCTAGGAGACTCCTTTTGCTAAATAAATCATCAGACCCTGTTTTCTGGGTAAGTGAGCATCCTTATCTCCTACTACTGTGTATTTTCTTCACTGGCAATCAGGCCGAGTTTATCTACGTGTCTAAGTACAGATTTAGATGCCTGACTTTATGCTCTGTGTTTGAAAATTTATGCTTAAACCCTAAAGGCAATACAGAGGGAAAACATACATTAATTTGGAAATCTCACACATATTCATGTGGTATTCGTGTGCATTTTCTAAAATATTGGGATCAAACCCACGGGTAGCTACATCATTTCATTAGTCTAGGAGCTGTTCAAGGTGCAGACTTGTGAACAGAATTTCTTTAGGGACGTGCAGTTGCTGCACTGTCCTCTCCAATTTCGAGAGACTATATTGAACAAAGTATCACTGAAATAAATTTTCATGGGGTTGCTCAATAATTCAGAGTGTACTGTTCCAGAATGTTATAGCCCTAGTTAGAATCGTATACAAAAACCCCACTCTCATAAAAGGCAGCGCACACTCCCTGTACTCTGCCTAGGAGAGGCCAAGGGAGGGCAGGTGTGGTCTAGTTGGTGAGCTGGTTCTGGTGTGATATGTTTTCTGACAGGACTGTACACTGGGTGACAGAAGATCATGTACTGTCCCCCAGAACTGCAGAACCCCTGGGGTTCAGCTCCCTGCTTAGAGCAGGGTTACCACTGAGCGCAGATAAGGTTGCTCAGAGTTCTGTCCACTTGGGTCTTCAAAACCTCCAAGGATGGAGGGCACACAGCTTCACTGGGCAAAGTTTTCTCAATGTTTAATTATTCTCATGGTGAAAATTATTTTCCAGTTATCCTCCCCTGTCTCAGTTTATGACCATCATCTCTCATTATCCCACCATGCATGTTAGTGAAGAGCCTGGCTTCACCTTCTCTCTGATCTCCCCTTGGGCAGGATGTTATGTTACAGGTTAGTTTTTGAGGTTGGCCTGAAGTTCTCACTCTGTGAATGACTCCCTCCGTTCAGGCAGGGAGTCTTGGCTCCAGGCATGAGGTTCACCTTATAGATGAGGACACCTATATATAGGTGCCTACAATGTGGACATCTCGAGGTTAGCAGGTATCTAATCTGCCATTGTGGTCAAGGTACACAGTACAAAGCACAGGGAGCCTCTCAAGTGATACAGCTCATGCCAGAGCTTTCTGGACACACACACACCACTGCTTGTGTTGAACAGCTCCACACTGGCTTCAGAGGCTGCTTATATGAAGATTGGTGCATGTAGATGTCTTACCCTGCAAGTAGTATTCGACCCCTTCTTAGGCATATCCTGCAGATTTAGCTGCACTATACATCACTGGGATGATGAAAACTGTTGGTCATTAACCAGCAGAAGCTTGTGGCCAATTTGGAAACAGGAAACAGCAGCCAAGTTTTTTTTTTCTGGTTGCATTCAGAGCCATGGGGCAAAATCTCAGAGGAATAATGACACATATCTACAATTTTATAATTTTGTACCTCAAAATGCAAGGCTTTTTTTATTTTTGACTCTGGTGAAGTCAATGGCATGTGCTCCTTTAATGTAGAGTGTCTGTAGGACATTACAGCCACTGTTGTAAGTAAGCACAGTGCTCACCCCAGATAAAACCAGCAGAAGTGGTGGATGCTCAGCTACTCTGAGAAAACAGGCAACTGAGTGTTTTTCGTGCATGAAACGTACATTTTTCGTATTGAGTGGGTGGTGTATGTGGTAAGAGTGGATAAATGTTGACTTCTCAATGGCGACTGAAAGAATGGTGTTCTTTCAGTAAAAGAAAACCATGAAAAGCTGAGAGGACAGGTAACAAACGTCTGTAAAGGATGTCTTAGAAAACCATTCCCATCACAGTGGTCTAGCATCCTGTGACAGATGGTAGGCTTAAGAAACCTATGTGCTGTTGCTACATCATCTTTTCAAAAGTTTATCTGTCTGGTGTGGTGGGTAAGCTGTGTGATGCTTCCTGCAGCCAGATGGACATGCATATAGTTTGTGCACTGTTTTATAGCTTTTTTTGTTACTGTACTGTTCTGAATTAGAAGTATACAGTCAGTTCTTGCTATGTTGGGCAGGTTCTCTGTAAATTAAGAACAGCATTGGCACAGTCAGTGACAGTCTGAAAAATAATGCTGCCAGCCATGAGCTGATTCATCTGCCTTGAGCTAGGATGACTTTGACCAGTCCAGTTCAGCCTGACAACATTTCTTGACTTTTCTGCCTCCACCCACCATACTTGTTGCATGCTCCTGTTCCCTAAGTGTTCATATAATGCATTATCCTTATTTTTGTTTCATTTGTTTACCCTCTTCACCATTAACCATACTGACAATACTTTGCTTGAAGAGGGGTTGCTGATCAGTAGTTAACTCAGTTACTGCCTCTGAGAACTTGGGCTTCAGGATAAATCTGGGAAGCATAAGGCTTTTTTTCACATCACGCAGATCCTTCTTAACCCTTCATCTCGCCACAGCCTGTGTCACTAGCAGAAGTGTACTGCCAGGCTGGCTTTTGCTGGCTATTTCAGACCTTTCCTCAGGAACACACTCACTTCCACAGTTAAAGCTGCTAACTTGGTGTCTCAACTTGGGCCATAAACTTGTCCAGGACTTTTATTTTCCGTGCTACCAGGAAGGACCAGAATGTGGATGTTTATGATGCACCTGGGTTTTTCAGTCGTTTTGGTTCTTCTTTCTTCTGTCTGTTAGTGTCTTCCAAAATAGTCTCCAGTGACTCTTTTTCTTCACCTCAAATACTCATCCATCTCTGCATCGGCTGCTCTGAGTGTGCCATTCTCCTTTTATGAAGCTCATCGCACTCTGCACGCAAGGTCCTGCTTCATGCTTTGAAAGAAGAGAGAGTAGCTTGGTTCTCTCTCCTCTGAGAGCGCTGCGTGAGCTCTCCTTGTGCCGGCTGTGCCACACGAAAGCGGGAGTGACAGAGAAGATGCCGTTCATCCTTCTTCCCCAGGAGGCCCTCCAGTTTTTGTTCTCTGTGTGCCGTGATCCTTCACGTGTTTAGTAAATCTTTCTCAGCTGGGACATCTGTTCCACGGTGATAGAAAGGGAAAATGCCCTCTTTTGAGATCACCTCCACTAACAGCACAGTCTGATCCTCTGAAATTAATTTTTAAACTAGAGCAGTACTATTGAAGGATTAATGTAAGATTATTTATCTTAAAATGACTTGTAATGTGAAAGAAATACATGTTCCTAGGTTATAGCCTCATTTTAGATGTTCTATTAATTAAAGGTTTTCTTTGCCTAATGCTAATGAAGAGACTAGAGTTAATGTGAGTGGGGCTAGAGCCTCCTGAGTTCCCAAGCGCTTTTTGGTTCTACTGTAAACAGTAGCATGCAGCTCACGCTTCACACCAGTGCTTCTTTGGGCCCTTGCATTGGATCATCGGGCCTTTGCCCTGACCGTTAAAAATCAGTTCATCTGTGCATAAAAATCAACTGTCCCATGGTGGTGACTTGAATAAACCATTAATTTCAGTACATTATTAAGGAGATTGTTCGATCTGGGAAAGGTGTATGGAGTTTCCTTTCAGGAGGAGCTAACAGCGTGACTGGTGGGCTGGTGTTGTTTGAAATGTAATCTAAACTGTTCATACATGTCTATGTGTTTATCCAGACAGTCACAAGATACATTGCCAAATACACATTATGCATTTACTATGATTTCTCTTCCATTGACAGCAGCAGCTTATGGCCAGATTCCAATGTAAATTTTTGCACACACATGATGATGTAGATTTTATAGATATAGATCACAGAGATAGATACAGATACACAAATAGACATCTAGATATAGCTATACAGACACAGATAGATAATTTGTATGGGTTTTAATTACTTTGGCATGTTTTGTGTAAAACATCTTCTCACTGACATGGCAGTGTATTCTGCTTGGCTAGCCTTGAAGCACTGAGGCTGTCTGTGAATGCAGTTTGAGCAATCGATGATGGGAGTCCGTTGATACGAAGCCAGTAAGCCTGTGATGAGTTTGCTTTGTCAGACAGGGTAACAGAAGTTATTACTTAATCCTTTGCTGAGTATTTCCCGCAGTGGGTAGCTGTGGAGTTTAACTTAGCTGTGTAAGCATGAGCAGGGGGAACACAAGGGAGTCATTTACACCAACAAGAACAAGTGCACCTCTGTGTTCAGAGTGGCTCAGGCATGTTCATTATATAGCTTACTTGATACTCTTTTACTGAACAGTGAAGAAAGAAGAGACTGAAGCTTCAGCCATCCCCAGTTTCACGTTTTCTTGAACTGCTTATTTTCTTTATTATGGGCTGACTCCTCAGCCGTTCCTGGGCTGTGTATTAGGTACTGAGAGCTCTGAATGCTGCTCTATTTCACCTATAAATGTAAACATCTGCAAACAATTTCCTAAGATAATTTTTATAACTTTCCAACTGAGACAAATGTGCACGAACTATGCATTTTTAGTTATTATTTTAGAGCAATGACATCCCTGAAGGAAAAATCTGTGCCACGACCCCTGGGCAGCATCCCCCAGTCCTCTGGGTAGCATTGTAACTGCGTCTTCTGGACAGTGCCCAGAATCAGGTGGAAGAAATCTTAAGGTCTTCCAACATCAGACCGGTAAAAAGGGTGATGAAGAGTCATGAATGGAAGGTTATAAACTGTGAATGTGGCAGGGATGCCACACTCATAGTTATTAGTGCCTCAGAAACTAAATGTCTGTCAGGCTGCTGTTAAAGGTTGTCTGCCAGATGAAGAAGCCATTCAGTTGGTAACACAAGAAGATGACACTCCGAAAGATGCACAAACCAGGAGCAAATTAATCAAGACAGTGAAAACAGATAGAGAAGTCAGGTCGTCACAAAGAGGAGCAGCAACAGACTGGCAAAAGTTTCTCACCTCTTCTGCATAAGGGAAGCTGCAGATGCTATACAAAGACACACTGTTCTCATTTCCCTGCATTTGCTTTGTGCTCCTGTTTATTGCACATCAAACACATTTACATACCCAGGAATTAAATGGAAATGATTGATGCAAAGGAGGTATTTTTGTTAATTGCTGTTGTGCTGAGTCATGCCTGACTGAAACTGCTGGAGATGGGTGAGAAAAGACAGAACTGTTATTAGAGGTTTATAAATAATGATCAAGAGCAATTTTTTAAACCCATCTGTTACCACGTATCAACATCCAAATTTTTCCAAAGAGGGGAGGGGCAACAGTGCGAGGACTAAGACAAGGCCATGTCTCTGTCAATGTATCTGTTGGCAGTGGCCTCTGTATCTTTGTCCAGTTTTATTAATTTCTGCTCCCTTGGAGCTTCAGTCACTCTCTGCCACAACCGTGTCAGACACCCTGCTGGTGTCTTAGGCTCAGAGCTGATGGGTGTTTGAGAGTTGGGCTGCTTGATCTACACAACATTAGTGAAATGTACCCACTTTTTGTCCTGTTAGTTGGAAAGCAGTTCTTAATGTGCTCTCATACGTGGGAGGCAGAGCCAAAACGAGATGAGCAGGCTGTGCTTGAAGTGCTTAAAGACAGTGGCAGTGGAGCTATACTACAGGGCACACAGGAGGATTTCTGTTATTCCCTGCTCTGCAGGAGTAGTGAAGAGGGATTTAAGAAATATCTGTCTGTGCATGGCTGCATGATCCTTGGGTTCACTGCTGATGTGGGCTGGGTAACTGAAGTGGATCAAAACAGATGAAGTCTGATCATGTATGCGCAGCTGTCAGAAAATCCAAGCTCCAAATGATTTTGGAAATGTCATCCTTCAGAGTATTATATGATGGTAACACAAAGCTGGTTTCCGGTGCAAGTGATAATGAAAACACATCCATGGCACTTGCTGGTTTATATCCCTCCACCTGTAACCCTTCTGCTGGGAAACAGTTCTTGAAACAGCTGTTTCCAGTAGATAGTAGTTCAAGAAATTACCCTGCAGCAGAACACAGACCATAGTCTGGCCTCTTAACCTTATTCCAGAAAATGTATTATAGGTCCTGGAGGTGGAGAGCTCGGAATGAGTACACACAAAGCGTTCAGCCCTGTTTCCTTTTGCTTTGCCTACACTGGGGAATATGTCCGGATTTTTTTGAATAGGTGGGGGAAATACCTATTTTTATGGCAAACCTAAGGTTTATAGAGGAGTAATGGGGAAATTTTAGTTGCAGAAAATAGATGATATCTGAAAAAGAAAGGGAATTGTCTTGGAGAGACAATTGACTTTGAGATTTTTCATTTAACCCATGTTACCTCTTGTATGAGACGGGCCTCACAAAGCATTGCCTTGTTTACAGGTAGCTTGTCTTTGGCACGCGTGCCTCCTGCTTGCTTGCTTGCTTAATCCTTTTCTACCCTCAAGAAGGAGTACTGAGATCAGATTTTTCTTAAGAAATCTTAGGACTCATGATTTATTAATGTATTATTTGCAGTTAGATGAGTCATGCAAACTCATGAGCCTATTTTTGTGCCAGACCGTGTGTTAATTTTAGTCATGAATCTTCTGCTGGTTATTCTAGCTGACAGAAATCATAAGTATCTGGGTTTTGCTTTGTCTTTACAATATCATCCTGTAATTCAGGTGTGTTGTTATTGAATAAAACATTTCTCAGTAAAAAAACCTCAATCTATGAAAGCCTGCTTGAAGCACATTCAATTGCAGTCCATTTCAGACTGCCATAAATAAATGTACAAACTGAATTCAATAGCTAAAAGATGAACTGACAATGTGAGTTCTGCAGTTACTTGCTCTATTTCAAATCAATATTTCTTGATGTCTCTTTTGAATTCTTAAAAGGTGAGCTTGAATAATGATAATCTTTATATCAACAAATGCTTTTGTACTACGTGATTATAACTGATTTCAATCAAGCACGTGTCTAAAATTGTCATATGAATGGCCCTTGGGTCTCTCATTATCTTCACTCCAACCCATTTAATAATAGGGTTCTTCTTAAGCAGGTGGCTCGTGCCATTTTTCCACATGGTGTTATTTTCAGCACTTGCAGAATCCACATAAATTGCTCGTGCTTCTTATACTCTGACCAGGTGCTGTATGGATTATCAGCTTGTGAGACGTGCACGTCTCAGTCCAGAAGAGAAGTGGCAAGATTATATAAATCTCTTTTCCCACTGTTTCTGATATTACCACGGGTTAGCATTTCAGTGTTGAGAGGAGAGCAGTCCAGTTAATTGGCTTCTGCATAAAGTAACTACCACTAAACAGTAGATAGGTCAGAGTAATTCTGTTTCTCTGATAGCTATTTATTTCCTTTCATCTCTTTCTCCCAATTTACCTTGTATTTTATTCACAGTATTTTTTAAGCTTTAAGCTTTTTACTGTCTCAGAAGTAGCCACTCGAAGTGCCTACATGACACCAGAAAAAGTGAAGGGGGCGGTGGTGGTGGTGGCTGGTAATCATTTTATTGGGGAATAAAAACATGAAATCCAATGAATCTTAAAACTGTGTTTAATGATGTGTTTCAGGAACTTCTACTACATCACAATGCTGAGGGATCCAGTGTCCCGGTACTTAAGCGAATGGAAACACGTGCAGAGGGGTGCGACGTGGAAAACTTCCCTTCACATGTGTGATGGAAGAAGCCCAACGCCAGACGAGCTGCCTACCTGTTACGAGGGAGACGACTGGTCAGGAGTCACTTTACAGGAGTTCATGGACTGTAGCTACAACCTGGCCAACAACCGGCAGGTGCGCATGCTGGCAGACCTCAGCCTGGTGGGGTGCTACAACTTGACTTTCATGAATGAGAGCGAAAGAAACATGATTCTCCTCCAAAGCGCCAAGAACAATCTGAAAAACATGGCCTTCTTCGGGCTCACTGAATTTCAGAGGAAAACGCAGTATCTCTTTGAGAGGACCTTCAACCTGAAATTCATTTCCCCATTCACCCAGCTCAACGTCACGCGGGCCTCCAACGTGGACATCGGCGAGGACGTGCGGCAGCGGATAGAGGAGCTGAACTTCTTGGACGTGCAGCTCTACGAGTACGCCAAGGACCTGTTCCTGCAGCGCTTCCAGTACTCCAAGCAAGAGGAGCACCAGAAGAACCGGCTAAAGAGGCGAGAGGAGCGGCGGCTGCTGCGGGAGCAGAGGGCCCACCAGTGGCCAAGGGAGGCGGCGGCAGAAGTGGTCGTTACTGAAGATTATAACAGTCAGGTCGCAAGGTGGTGACGCTCCTCCGTCTTGGCTGAACGATGAGAGGATCAGAGAGCTTGTGCCACTTGGCCACCTGGGAATTAGCCAAGGGAGGCCCACCGCTTTGCTAAAGGAGACCACCTCTGACAGCTTAGCCCTGCTTGTCTCAGCTTTTCTTGGTTTCTGCCAGTGAGGAGAATGTATTTTTTTTCTCAGTAGGCATTGATTAGTGTTATTAAATGGCAGTAGCATGGATTCCTGCCCTAAAAGGCTTCTTTCAAGGCCCTAAGGTATGAGGACGGGCTGAAGAGAGAGCTGTATCTTTTGCATTAACAGATGTACCCTATACAATCTGAGCTACCAAAACTTGTGCAGACATGAATGAAAAATCTGGGGAAAAATAACCCCCGATTTGGTTCCTCTGTGACTTGAGCACTGGTTTATTTCATACTGTCCTTTGCAGCTGTAGTGTGTAGCTTTCTAGTGAATGAACTGGAGGAAAAGGCGTTGCCCTTCAAACTTCTACATGTTGTGTTTTTATTAAGGGAAGAATTTGCAGAGTTGATTTCAAAAGACTGAGGAAATGTGGGATTGGGGCATCCCTTGTTCTGTTAATGAGCATTCAGAGATGATTTAAGTGATGGAGGGGTTAGCTTATTTCTCCACAGATGCTGAGAGAACCCAGCCAGGTAGCAGCCATCTTTCTGAGTGTATGTAGTAAAGGGAAACCCTTGAGAAATGAGGTCTACATGGCAGCTGGGCACACATCACAGAGATTGTCTGGCTGGAGGCAATGAAATCAGCCTTTGCATTTACAAAAGGTGAAGGGAGGTCAAGCAAAATACAGGGAAGAGGAAAGAGAGAACAGGAGAAGCTTAAATATTAGTGTGACATTTTCCAGACTTGCTGTAAAAGCCTGGAGATATATTGTCTGTGAAGGTAGGTGGGTTTATGATATTGTCTCTTAAAATACATTGATGCCAAGTGAATACAACTTAATTCAGTTTTCTCTCCAACTACTGTAGTGGCTAGAAAAAACCTCAGCTTTCATTTCTATAGGATACAAAATGGATCTGTGGAAAGTCTTGATATTTATTGCTCTGTATGAAGATTCTTTGTAAAGTTATTGTTTTCATGATGAGAGATCTGTATCTGTTTTTCTTCCTTGTCTAGAAAAAGATTCAAAGGGTTCTTCCTCCTGTTGTTAAATTCTTGTGGCTAAACCGCATCTATTTATTCCAAGATTTTATGTTGTTTCATTTGTAATAGTGAAATTTTAAAAAGAGGGTCCTGTGCACCATGGATCTTTTGAAAGAGTTTTTTTCCTTATGGCATAAATGTAAAGCATTAGGAGGAAATTTCTCTGAAGTGCCTCAATGTGGCTGCTAAATCAAGATGTTGAAAGTATATTGTTGCATGCATGAATGGCCTTTACCTTACAGATTTGCTAATTAGAAATACCAGAGTACCTGATGTGGATGCACATTACTCATTTATTTTCAAAATTCAAGTGTTTTGTCCGGGCAGGAAAAAAAAAGGTAATGCACTACAGAAAAAAGAGGTAGAATTTGAAAATTTGTCCCTTCATTTCCAAGTCTTTTTTTGTTTTTGTTTTTGGTGCATGCTGTATCTTCCTTTGTCCTGACAATGCTGTTGCTACTTAGCTATGCACAGCTTCAAAAATATGATCTAGTGATTCTGTTGAGAGCTAATGCATACAATAATGCATTAAATATGGGTTATCATAATGGCTATTAAGAGGAGAAGAGGCCTACTGGGATGATGCCTCATTATCAATGTATTTTATTAGCAATATGCTGCTTTGTGCCCGATTGTCAGTGTGCTCCTTTTGGGATGAGGAGCGATGGGTTTTGGCCCCTAATTCCTGTTCCACTGATGGATCGTGTGCATCTCTTACCACCTCCTCCTTCAGAAGGGAGAATGCAGGGCTGCAAATCCTTATTCTCCTGCCCAAGTGTGGGATGTCTGCCTTAGAGAAGAGTGAGGAGCTCTCTAGACTCCCTGGATGGTTCTGCTTGGATCGACATCACGTGGAAGAGGCAGCTCAGACACCTTGCTCACGTATGGACACACCTACCTGCAGAGATTTAAATTGAAATGGTTACAGTCAAGGATTGCAGCTCACTCTGGGAGTCCTGGCTGCAGGATGGTGAGCCCTGACTGGTATTGCTGCACCTCTAGCAGAGTGCAGGTCATTTGCAGAGACCTGAAGAAGCCTCACCCACTGGCACTGTGGCTTCAGGCTGCTCTGGTCTTAGCCCTGTGGAGGGAAGGAGCTCCCTGGCTGGTGCTGCAGGGATGATGGGGACTTGCTGCACTCCCCGACCCTGGGCCCATTGCTGCATCTTCCTGCAAACCCCACAGGAGGAGAAGGGAAGGGTGCCTGTGGCACCTTGTGTCAGGATTTATGGGTGTGCTCCTTGTTTCTGCGAGCAGAGGAGGCTAGGGGTGCCAGCAGAGGTAGAGGCAGGGTGGGCAGTGGTGCAGGGTGCAGGGCAGAGGCAGGGCTGTGCAGGAGTGAAGCCACCTGGGAGGAAAGATGTAAGGCCAAATTCACATTAAGGAGGAAGGTGAGAGAGGAATCAGAATCACTCCCAGCCTGTCTTTTGTTGTACAGCATCCCTTCTTTTTCCTCCTAACACACAAAAAAAAAAAGTCCCCTTCCTGGTGTCCCTGCCTCTTTCTCCAGTAGGCCACCTCTCTGTGCTGCTCACAGCAATGGGGGGCCTCATTTTTCATTTACAAAATGCAGTGTTATCTTTTGAGGGGAGGCAGAGCTCAGAAATGGTTCCCTGGAGCTTCACCAGTGACTGTAAGTATCAGTTTCAGCTGTCTAAGCACAGCAACTGTACTCCAGACTGTTCCTTCTGCCCGACACAAAGCAAAGCCGAATGAGGAAAACCGAAGTGGTCTTTGGGTGGTTTACATGAGCTGTAATGGTTTGGCAGTACCTTAATGGGATGCCTAACCTTTTCCTCAGCCACTTCCCAGGAGAGGAGATTAGGGTCCTGAGGAGCCGTTAATGTGCTGTAGCATCTATGTTAATGGGATTTGCCTTAACGCTTGGGATTTAGTTAAAATTGAAATCGGTTTGTTATTTTTTTCCCCCTGGAGCCTGTGTAGCAGATAGCCCTAGTTGTGCAGGAGTAGTTTGGGGGCGGGAGGGGGAACTGAAGGACCCAGCACCCCCTTCCCCAGCTCCGCAGCAGATCCAGAAAACTCACTGCACTAACAATTCCATTCCCCTTAGCAGAATGTCCTGGCACATGACAAATAGAGCCGTTTGGAAATACTTTCAGGCTGACTTCTGAGACACAGGCTTGCAGCTTTTCTTCCTCTTGGGGGCTGCTCCCAAAATAATGTAATGTAAAAGCAAAATGAAGACCCTGGTTCGTATCTCTGTGATTCCAGGTTTTCATTGCTCTGACAGCATGGACTTTGCTGTAATTACACTGGCTTATATAAGATTGGGGCACAGTGTGCTTCTTTCAAACTGTTTGTGAGCAACAACGCTATAGGATTTCTGTCCATCTTCCTGGCATTATTTTGTTGCTTAAACAAGGCAATTTGGCTTCTGCTACTGTGGTGCTGAAACAAATCTCATTCTTTTGTAACTGAGAGGTACTTGCTAATCTCTCCCATCACATCCTCAGCACTGGATGCCTTTTCCAGTTATAATTCACTGTAGGCTTGGAACAGACAGAGGAACATGCTGGGTCATTAAAACTTGTTCCTGGTAATTCGATGTCTACTCCAAGAACTCGGCCTGTTGCCTAGGGGCCATACTTTATTAAGGAATGAAAATTTGTCCTCTCTTCCCTGTTCATCAGTGCTAAGAATAAAAAGCTTTTCACCATAGGGAAAGAAAAA